AAGCCTTACTTTAAGCATTAATGAATTTTAATTTAATCAGGCAAAGTTAATTTTCCTTCTACTTACCTGCCTTATGAGAGTTGCATAAGTAAATGGAGGTCTGACATCTGCATTTTTATAAAATTCGTAGTTTGGGGCAATCTCTATAAAAATAAAAGCTAGGTGTTAATTCTGCTAATAATTCACAGGATAGATAATTGATTTTTCATATTTTTTTCCCCAGTATTGGTGAAGTGATTCAGTGAGAAAGCCACTGACTAGTGAAAGCACAAAGCATGACAGTGGAATTGAATTATATGGAAAAGGCCATTTCTGACGTCAAGTGCAAATGAAGCGTCCCTAGTTGTTCGCGGTACTTCAGGAACTGTGCGACCAGCTGGCCTGAGGATTTTTTTCCAACAGCCAGGTCCTCTTTTAAGCGGGTGGTTTAGGCATGTTCTTACATGGACTTTTGCCCCCCTGCCATAACCTTTGCTTTTTCTCATCTAAGACTCCTTAAAGAACAACAGGATCATCTCCCGGCATCTGTGGCCATCTAACAAAAGAAACACAAAATCCTCACAAGCGCCCATGTTGAAAATAACTTCACTTTTTGTAAAAAAAAAAAAGGGGGGGGGGCTCTGGGTTAATAACAGTTACAACGTGTGACTGTGATTATTCAGGTGCCCTTGGGCAGGGGGTGAGGGGCAAGGGGGCGGGGGGGGCTCCGCGGTGGACATGGGGGTGGGGGAGGGTGGGGGGGGAGAAGGAGAAGGGTGAGAGAGGGAGAGAAGGTAAATTTGTGTTCCATGCAAACTTTGCCTCTCAAATGCATCTTAAGCAAAGTAGCGTGTAGGCATTAGGAGCTGTGGAAGCAGCTGGACCAAGACTGATTCCCCGAAAGCCTGAAGAGTCTTGCGTAAAGCATCGGTGCTTCCTCTCTGTCCTTTTAAACGTTTCTTCTCATACAGCGTTATCACAGAAGTTGTATTGCTATGGTCTTCCCTCGGAGATCAAAGGACCTCACTGAACTGAGGTGATAATGATCATATGGGCTATCCTGACAACACATCTCTCAATGTCTCTAATGGGGAGAGCTTTCTTTCCTGAACAACCACTTGGAACAATTCATCACGATGTGCTTAGGGAATCGCCCCTATCCACATTTACCAGGAATAAAACAATTATCACTCCATAAATCATGACTTGAGTTTCCATGTGCTCTGGAATGGCTCATGTACAGTTGCTTCGACTCTAGTTTTCCTCTCCCAAAGTAAAAGAGCTCTACTGAGCATTCATAGCCTACCTGATGACATGGGAATGTTGTATTTGTCTGAATGTCGCCTTCGTATGGCTCCCACATTGGGCACACTGGCTGGGGTGATTACTGAGGGTCCCTGGGTAATCGGGGTGACTGGGGCCGTTGGTGTGGTAGGGGTTTGAGGTAAGCTCTGTGGGGATGTCTCCAACATGTTCTTCGACATGGTGACACTAGACACCAGATTTAGCTGCAAAGGCCCAAGAGAAGGGCAGGAAAAAGGTAGAGACAAGAGAAAAAGACTTAAAAAGGTTTGACAAATGAGAGTGGATTCACTTCTACAGCTGTGTTGCCACTAATAAGCTGCAAAAGGAAGCAGCCAATCTCAACTAATTACAGGATGAAATTGTATCATAAGAACTCTAATTAGAGGATGCTGTTAGAGGTTATCTAATAATCTCCTGCAATGTTACTTAGGACTAACTCCTTCTTGTCCTACCAGACTTCAGCGAAAGTATATTTCTTTAAATAAAAGCCATTGCTGATTATTGACTGCCCCTGTTGTTAAACAGGTCTAGCCCCCAGTGAGGCAACAACAGCAATAATGAAGGATGCAATGTTTCCAACCAACAGGACTTAAAGTAAGTTGCTATTCTGTTGCTGCCAGAATTTTTTTTTTTTTTTCCCCATAGTCCCAAATCTCAGCTGAGAGGCTCCAGCCAGCTGGAAAATTTTACACTGACCTTTAGTCTCCTTGCTAATTTGGTGGAATGGTAATGACATTACTACATATTCAAACAAAATTGTCTTAATTGCAAATTAGCCGGAGGAGGCTGAAAATTTTCAAATTAAATCTGATTGGAGATGGAGAGAGGGAAATGGAATTTCCTCACTAACAATCATTTGTGGCATGTGTTAACAAATATAATGAAATGTCAAGTTTGCCAATTCCTCTGGAAGTATCATTTTCAATTTATGATTACAGTGTCACTTCATGCTGATGTACCCTGGAAAGTGGGTGTCAGGGTAGAAAAAAGGAAAAAGGTGAGAATGTATGCAAGCTGTTTAACAGTGTGCCCTTCATTACTCCCCTTAGAAAGGCCCTGTTCTTCATTATCAAAAAACTCATATCACCTCTGTCATATTTACCACACATCTTTTGTCATAAATAGCATCCAATTAGCAAAATTTTTTACGCAGGGCAGCACGTAAAAAGATTTCTGCCATATATTTAAACGCTATTATAGGAGGCAATCTACGGTCCTTTTCATTTGAAACAAGAATCCATACAACCAAGCAAGAAAACTAGTTTTATTTGTTCTGCTTCTCTATGAAGTAAGTGCTGAGTGGCTAAATAGAGAATATTCAGCTTTTGTATATAATTTAGTAACACCTGCCTTTTCAAATCCCAAATACACTTCTTAAGACAAACCTTTTTTTAATGGGGAGAAAATGATGTGTACAGCATTGATTGATCTTTCTTTGTGGATTTGTTTTACACATTTAGTCAGTAGAGAGATTTGTTAGGGAAACAAAAATTAACATATGCCAGCTAATTGTTCTTCTTTCTTGGGCAGCAGCCAGAAGAAGCACATTAGCAGTCTAATAATAACGACTGGCACCCTGAAGGCATCCCCAAGTGCATCTGTTCCCAATAAACCACAAACTGTTATTCTGTTCGTACTCTAAGCCAGCAGACTGGGTTGGGAATTCTTTGTTACGTACATAAATAAAAGCTGAGATAATGCTACTAAACGCTGCATTTAATACATTTACAAAGCCACTGGTGTAAGCTTCCCTAGGACGTACAAAGCACCTCCGCATAGTTTGAGAAATGCAGGGAGATGCGCAAGTGCAATGCAGCAAATGGTATTTTTCAAAAACCAAAACAAACAAAAAACAAAAAAATCAACACCAGGGTGTATAATCAGTAATGTTCTATTAAGATCATATCATCAGTATTGCGTGTCTCTGTGTTAAAATTATGAAAAGGAAAAAGGGAAAAAAAACCCCACCTCCCCGTCTTAAAACAAAACAAAACAAAAAACTCAGCCGAATGGTTACACATTCACTTTTCAAAATTGTAAACCAGGAAAAAAATGGCACAATCGGAAGTCAGAAAAATAACGATACTGCAAATCAATGAAAGATCTATCCTGATGACTACTTGACAAGACTCCGTACGTTTTGCTAACATGCTAGAAGTTATCAGAACAGGAGAAATACATCTTTTTCTATGCAAACCACTCCTGTTTACAACGTTACGGCAACTTAGTCTGCCATCCTGCAGTAATAAGCATACCATGTTTGTAGGCGTGCAATCACAAACTGATAAAATAGAATTTATGATTAACTAAAGGGAAGCATGTAAAAGCCAGGATGAGCACTTAGCCACCTCGGCTCATCTGAATATAGTCAAGGTTGGGTGAAACTCATTATTCAGGACTCGCAGCCTTGATAACTTTGATTTTCATCCATCCATAGCATGGCCAAAAGGTACCATTTAATGAAGTACCATTCAGAGAGTAAATGGGGTCATATAATAGACAGTGCGGTTGCACCTTGTGTTCATGTACTGATAGCTGTTAAGGGTGCAGTGATGAACCAACAGATCTCATTTCTCCTTGGTAATAAATTCATGCTATTAATATTTATCAAATGTGTGGGCCGTCTCAACTGAGCCTCTGCACATGAGACCATAAATCTCTACTATCATATCAATTTTGAAGCTCCTTTTGTACAGTGTATAAATTTTAGGGTTTTTTGAGGGGTGTGAGTATTGACCACTCTTCTCTCGAACCGATCTGAGGCCAGCAGTGCAGTTACCCACTTCAGATACTGCGAGTTCCAAAGGGAACTTTAAACTGTGGTTTCATTTTAAATCGCTCATCTAAGATTCTGTATTAATTGCCCACCATCAAACGCAATTAGCAATTCTTTCATGTGTGGTTTATGTAATGTAATACTTCAATTACATTATTCATTCAGGTTCTGTTTTGGATTATAGGCTGAAAATTCTTTATTAGTGTAGATGTAACCATGCTGCTGGAGTTTTAAAAAATTTACTGATTGAATAATTAATTGGAAAAGAACAAGCTGCAGATTCCTGATGGGTTTATGAGACAATTATTCTGTCTTGTGATTACCTACATTATACTATGGAAGCAATGAGGGAAAAAAAAATCTTATTGAAAAGAAAGTCATAAATATAGGATCAAAAAGATTCTCAAAAGTTTATTTTTTTATTAAAAATTCAGAAATTCTAGAGTTAAAAAAAAGTATGTCAGGTTCAAAAAGATATGTTTCTCCTTTCTTCCTGTTGAAGATGTTTATGATACCCATACTGAAATATGGTACAAAAGAAAAAAATCTAATATCGTAGGACATCTTAACAGAGTTTAAATTAATATAGTCGTTAAGCAAAAAAGGTAAATTTTGAATAATATTAATCGACGAGTGATTTCAGAGTCACTAGGAGAAATGGCATACAATATACCCTGTCTTTTATCTCTGCCCCTCCTACAAAACCAAATGATCTTTTTTTTTTTTTTTTTTTTTTAACCTAAGGACATGGAGAGAGGCAAAGCTGGTAATCGCCATCATCAGGCTATACAGGGGCCTTATTAAAAAGTACCCCACAAACTTTCATTAAACTAGAGTTACCCAGTTGATTACTCTAAGTTTCTGTGCAAACATGAGCTGAGTGAGAGAAAGTATATTCTTTTCAATAGCCTGTGTATCTGACTACATTATCGGGTCACACTTAAATCTCCTATATCTTTCAGGGAAAACTGCAGTTTTTATTTTCTATAATTACCCATTTTCCTTTGTCCTAAGCTCTCCAAATTAACGCTGTGTATACTGTATAGTAAAACAAAACACGTGAAGTATATCTTAACCGAAATCACAACCAAAGAAATAGGATATAATTGGCTCGAAAAACACCATGACATTTTCCAGAAAACATTTGATTAAAAAAAAAAAATCGATTTATATGTATCTTACGACTGATCTAAGTCTTCCTCAGCATACCACATACCTTTCTATTCGTGATTTGTACTGCTTTTCGGGTTGCTCAAAGTGGGTTTCCTTTTAATATCTGTAAACCTATCACAGAAAGATATTCTGTCTGGCTTCAGCCTCAAGGCAGTGATTTGTGCACTGATAGGTGTACTTTGTTTAGTGTCACCCACGGTGTAGATTGGATAGATTTTGTAAAAGATAGCATTACTTTAAAAGAAACATACAATTTGACAAGCGATTGCATTTTACTTTCATTTTATTGCCATATTTTTCATCACACTCATTGTTTTCTAACTGTCGCTAAATTGTTCATTTTCTTAGTCTGTTACATCGGTAGAGCTATTTACTGTTTATAAAGCAATATGCACTTACAGGTTTGGGAGATGGTTTGGGCTCTGAGGGTCGCATGTGCAAGTGGGTCATCATTGCTTGAAGACGTTCGCGTTCTTTAGAAAGCTGTTAAGAAAGAGTGAGATCAGAAGCGTTTTAGAAATGACTGATACAGCTATTTTATGGCAGTGATACATCTTATCATTGAGCTTGACTCAGAGTAATGATTCCTGCATATAAAAGTCTGTGTCAGTAGGAACTTATCTGGGAGGAAATGCAACTTTGGCTATGCGTGGGGGGGGGGGGCGTGGAAAACTTTTATAGCTTTCCTTATGTTAAAAGGTCAGAGAAAACAAATAACACTTCATCTTTTTGTCAATAAGAGAATTGAGGTCACACTTGCCTCGACAGTAACAAGTTACTGGAACCATAAATTAGAAGGCCCACGGTGTCTTTTAAAGTCCTGTGGACACTGTTAGCAGTGGACTAGTGCCAACAGCTGTGAAGGGGTGAAGGGTTCTCAAAGCGAAGTGCCTGCCAGGATTGTCTACACACTTCATGCATCCCACTGAGGTCCAGTTAGTGCCCCCTGCAATCTGCCATCATCAATCTAATTCAATAGAGTGACAGAGACCAGGCAGTGTGAAACGCTGAACTCTGCCACGGGAGTCGGCATCTACACTTGCACTGGGTCTCATTACAACTGACGGACCTTACTTTTCCATCAGTCAGACACAGCAGAGGGAGTGAAAAAAAAAAAAAAAAAGAAAGAAAGAAAAAAAAAGGAAAAGAGAAAGAAAAGAGGCGTAATTGGTTGCACTGCAGTCTGGAGCATCAGCTAAACTCTTGTGTTTCAGTCTACCCTTCATAAATGGTAAACAAGTTTACAAAAAGCTTTTCAAGCTACAGCGGCCATGATGCTTTTTACGTGTTCTTGATTATTTTACAGGTCAAAATAAAATGTTTTTAGTAACCCCCTGAAAACAGCTGTGACGTAATGAATTTAAAATAATTTAAGACACAGTAATGTGTTTAGAATAAAAAACTGTATGCTTAATGAAATGAAGTTTGGTTCGATCGAGAAAAAAAAAATCTTTAAGAGGAAATATTAGCTAAAGCTTTCACGGGTTGGTAAAAACATAACAGGAACGATAGCATGATAAATTGCTTTCAGATCGGTTTTATGAGTTCTATTTATTTTTTACCAAATCCTGTTTCAATATCAACGGAAGCGTTTTTAAACTTAAACTAGCAGCATCGGAAATAAACACATACATATTACGGTCCATGGTATTATAGGTGACTGGCCATTATTCTAGTAAAGGTAAGTCTTAAGAATCTTTGCAAGTTCTTTAATTGAAAAAACACTAGAGGGGTGCCTGGGTGGTTCAGTGGGTTAACGCCTCTGCCTTCGGCTCAGGTCATGATCCCAGGGTCCTGGGATTGAGCCCCACATCAGGTTCTCTGCTCAGCAGGGAGCCTGCTTCCCTTCCTCTCTCTCTGTCTGCCTCTCTGCCTACTTGTGATCTCTGTCTGTCAAATAAGTAAATAAAATCTTTTAAAAAAGAAAAAGAAAAAGAAAAAACACTAGAGGTCGAAAAGAAAAAGGAGGTTTTTTTCAGGGTGCTATCTTACAGGCATGATATTGTAAAGACTTTTTGGCGACATTATAAAATCTCGTGGAACAAATCCAGATCGGCTTTGTGAAAACTGTCTCAGTGATAAAATCGTATCTAACTGTGGAGTTTAGTCCAACTTCTATCAAGGAAAAAGACCTTAGAGCTGACTCTTTTGGGATACTCAAGTCTATATGATGTGGTCTAAAGTTTAGAGAGGTCTAAATGTTAAGGAACGTTAAACCACAGCGACCCACCCTGAGCCATCAGCCATTGCCATCCTTATAAACAAAT